GAGTTGAAAAGGATGAACATAAGGCATTCATTTATTATCAAAAATCTGCAGAGATGGGAGACGATATGGGAATCAATAATGTTGGATATAGTTATCTTAATGGAATTGGAGTTGAAAAGGATGAACATAAGGCATTCATTTATTTTCAAAAATCTGCTGAAATGGGGGATGCTAATGGAACAAGGGGTGTTGGATATTGTTATGAAAATGGAATCGAAGTTGAAAAGGATGAACATAAGGCATTCATTCATTATCAAAAATCTGCAGATATGGGTAATGCTGTTGGAACATGGAATGTTGGATATTGTTATCGAAATGGAATTGGAGTTGAAAAGGATGAACATAAGGCATTCATTTATTATCAAAAATCTGCAGAGATGGGAGACGATATGGGAATCAATTATGTTGGATATAGTTATCTTAATGGAATTGGAGTTGAAAAGGATGAACATAAGGCATTCATTTATTATCAAAAATCTGCAGAGATGGGGAATGCTAATGGAACAAATAGTGTTGGAGAATGTTATCAGCATGGATTTGGAGTTGAAAAGAATGAACATAAAGCATTCATTTATTATCAAAAATCTGCTGATATGGATAATGGTGAAGGATTATATAATATGGGTAATTGTTATCTAAAAGGAATTGGAGTTGAAAAGAATGAACATAAGGCATTTATTTATTATCAAAAAGCCGTTGATTTGGGAAACATTAATGGATTTCATATGATTGGTCATTGTTACAGAAATGGAATAGGAATAGAAAGGAATTTACAAAAAGCCAATTATTGGTTTAGAAGAGAAAGAAATAAATTTTCAAATACAATTAAATCAACATATGAAAATCTAAATATTAATGAAAATTTAAAAAAAATATTGAGAGAAAATAAATATCAATTATCTTGGATTCCTTATTCGGAATTTGAAATTATCGAAGAGATTGGAAAAGGTGGATTTGCTACCGTGTACTACGCTAAATGGTCAAGAGTAACTATTTATAATTCTAATTTGATTTCTGTTGCTTTAAAAATAATCCATAATTCGAGCATTCAGATCCAGGAATTTATAAATGAGGTGTTTGTTTAATATTTATATTCCACCAAGAAAAAACCACAATTTAGAATTTTAAATTTATAACTTATTGGACTTAACCTGTCGCTATCAAATTTTTAAGGATTGAATTCGGTAACGATGAGTTATAAAATTAAAAATCTAAAGTGTGATTTTCCCTTAGCGGTACTCATCTCATTATTTATTCGGTATATTCATTATTTATATTATTGTAGTTGAAAGCATACAGCGAAATCGGATTCAACAATCCTTCATTCTTACAATGCTATGGAATATCACAGGATGAAACAACTAAAGATTATATAATTATTTTAAAGTATGCGGAAACTGGATCTCTGTATAAAAATATTGTTGACGTATCACAGATGAAATGGAAAGATAAATTAAATTTATTAAATTGTATCGTATCTGATCTTGAAGCTATTCATTCAGAAGAGTTATCTCATCGGGATCTTCACAGTAAAAATATTTTACAAGATGATTTACGTAGTGCGTATATCGCTGATTTAGGTCTCTCTGCGTCAGCTAGTATAAAACAAGAGGATCAAATTTATGGAATTATACCATACGTTGCTCCGGAGGTTCTACAAGGAAAACCTTTCACACAAGCTGTTGATATATATAGTCTTGGCATTATTATGACAGAGATAGCGACTGGAAAAAGAGCATTTGATGGTGTACCTTTTGATCTTGATCTTTCGCTAAAAATTTGTCGAGGTGAAAGGCCAGAATTTAATGAAGGAATTCCAGAATGTTACATTATATTGGCTAAACGATGCATGGATTCAGATCCAAAAAAACGACCAATAGCTACCGTCATTAATTCAAAAATTGTTCATTGGCTTGACGAGATGGAACAAGATAATAATAATGAAATTAAATATCAATTCACAGATGCTGATAAGGTTAATCTAAAACAGATTGAGCCAGAACACCCTTCACACATGTATACAAGTAAACTAATCAACACGAAAGAAGTATCAAATATATTAAGTTTTGCGATTCCTAATGATATTTAACCCATTAGCATCTTTTTCATCGGTAAATCTTTGGTCATTTCTGTATGCATTAGTATGCTCCCCAAATTTTTTTATCGTATTCGAATTGTATTTATGCTTTTTTTTGATCAGATTAGGTTTCCTAAGATTAGATTTTTTTATGCATAATATTAAACTCTATTAATTAACAATATAAACTTTTTTGTATTTCAATTGAAGTTGAAGGCAAAGTTAGTGATTAATGATTACTGTTAACGTGGTAAACCGACTAAGTAATGAAAATCATTTAGATTATTTAACATTAATTATGAAATATGGCGCTTAAAGCTCAAAACTTGCATGTTCCTGTGTTTCATAAAAAAAAAAACAATATCCAGAACGTAACTTTATTCGTGAAATTTCAAGGAAATTTTTATCATGTTAATATTAATGATAGATGAAATAAATCAATAGCATTTGGAGATCTTTAATTAGAGGCTTTAATTCCGATTTTCATTTATAGTCTGCTGACATATTTTTGATTACTTAGTATTAGTTATTTATCATCATGTTTTCAATCTTTAATAATTAAAGCAAATCATATAAATTGTCCAGTTATTTCTAGCTTTAAAATAGCAACAAACTCATGACCAAATTTGTTTGAATTTGTTTGATTTTTTAATTGTATAAATATTTTAGATGCTAGAAATAATTGAATACTCTGAATTGAGACAAAATTTTCATAAATATGTGAATTTCTTTTTTTTTAAAAAAAGATAAAATACTGTCAAGAAAACAACTATTTACAATAACATACGGCGCATGTTATATGGTGAATCCGAAAGTGTTAAAATTCTCGTGATTAGCACCAAAAAAATTCAATTGGCAAACGCATTAAAATTCTTATAGCTTGATGGAGGCAACAAGCAAGTTAAAACTTTTTCATAGTGCGAATGCAATAAATTCTTACAGTAGACACGAGAATAATATGTAGGCTGAAAGTGTTTAAATTCTTAATAACAAGGTAATAACTTTTTTAATAAATTTTAATATAATATTTATGGAAGTCATGACTAAAATTCAGGCGCGATGTAATAAATATTCGAAAATGTTCATAATCTCCATAAAGAGCTAAATAGTGAGGTTTACCGCCTAGCGACGCTAATCGACAGTAAATTAGTTTAAATGTTAAAAGGGAAATATCGATATATTGTATTAATGATCAGATCTCAACCAATTACTTATTTATGTCATATTTTAACAAAGGTGCAATTGGAAAATGTGTACCAGGTTGGTGGCGCAGACAAAATTCTTAAAATTCGTTAAGTCTAGGGTCAGGGTTAAGAGCTAGAGGGGAGTAGCTTTAATAGTAAAATTGTCAAACAAAAGCTTTTTTTGGAACACAGAATGTGGTTACTTATGCTGATTTTTGAGTTATGAGCGATTTTTGGCAGAACGAACGTTTGTTTTGAATCTTGATTGTGTTACATTACACCTAATCTTGAAAACTGATTCGTAGATCAGAAGAACTACGTCACCAACCTGGTACGTACACATTTTCCGATTCCACAATACAGTGGATACATACAGACAGAGTCCTCGGATTTTGTAGCAGCACTATTTTTTAGCAAAATAGCTAGCAACAATTGTCTTGCTCTAAGATGCTATTTTTGCTCTAAACATGTGATTTTACCTTTGTTCTTGAACTGATTTATGTAAACGAGTAATTATATGCATATTTTAGATGATTACCTAAGAACTCATTGCAATGATAGATGAAGAACTCGCAGAAAAAAAATATGATTTCATTAAAATTTATATATACTTATAAATATAAATTTATAATAAGCTATTTTGCTAAATTTACTTTTGCTATCAAAACGTCTGGGGTCTACAGTACGTACTTGATTACGCAATCACAGATCAGTAAAATTTAGACAATCGGTTTCAAATTTACGTATAAGTTTTCTAACTTATCTGTTATTTATCTTGTTATTCTACGTATAACCTTATTTGCTACATTAAAGCATAATTTTAATGCATTGCATAAATACATTTTAGTATTTATTTATAAATTAATTCTATGTAATAAATTGTATTTGTTTTTTTTCCTCCTGCGTCTTTAACTTTTCTTTGCTACACTAACGAAAGCTAAACTCTAATTTTTGTTTCATTTTGAACCATGCTATTTGTGTAGACCACGGACATATGCGGTCGCATAATAGGTGCATAAAATGCGATTACAGTAATTGTTATTGTTTTTACGAGATTTATTTGGCATTTGTGCGGGCATTTTAACCGAATAATCAAAGCATATGTATATAATTGTTAAATTTCTTTATCTTAAATTCATAACTACGTACGTGCATGGTTCCTCGCGCAAATATCGCATAATTTGAAATCATCATATCGCATAGCAATTCTTTTCAATGCGCATAATCTGGGGTCTCTATTTGTGTAGAAATTTATCGAAATGGAAAAAAAAATTTTTTGTTTGACATTAGTGAGGAACTGATTTGTTGAAATAGCAACGAGTTTTGTATTTCACATCAGAAGCATTTTTTTTATTGTTATCGTTTACATACAGTAAAAATGACAGAATAACAATAACAATCAACATGTAAAAATCGAGGTCTTCGAATAATATCATACAGTACCTATCCGGCTATTATGGTGCAATATTTTCGGATGCAACAAAGGCATTTTTTTTTATTACCTTATGCAGGTTCAATTATAAGAGTAATTTTTTTATGCAATCAATTACTGCGCCGAATCGATAACTAAGCAACTTATGATTCTGCACGTAAAGTATATATAGACGCGCGAATCTAAAAGATTAATAAAGAAAACTTTGACGAACCTAAAATATTATAGTAATTATGAATAATGGAGGTCGTCTAGAGATTCAATTTTGATAAAATATTTCGCGTTCATATTCCGTCTATATCAATATTCGTTCTTTACGTATTATATTATTCACCAACTTTCGATATTTACCGACACGAATTTTTATAAAATTGAAATTATTATAACGATTATAGTTGAATTGAACACATACCTTGATCCTGTCGTCCTTTTCCTTAAAAAATATTACCTTTCTTTCTACCTTTTACTTCTCTACCATTTTAATTTTCAATTTTAATCTTCAACCTTTCACTTATCTCTATTACCTTAATCTTCAACCTTTCACTTATCTCTATTACCTTAATCTTCGATTTTTCACATTTCTTTCCTCTAAAAATGAAGAAAGCAAAGAAATCCTTGAGCACACATCCCACTACCACTAGACCCTCCACACCCATTACACGATCCACTACTATTAGACCTACTACTTCTAATACACAACTCTCCACCGCTGAATCAGCCACATCCATCACACAACCCAACACTAATATACCTATTACTTCTACTACACAACTCTCCACCACTGAATCAGCCACTACACGATCCAGCACTAATAACGATAGACCTACACAACTCTCCATCGCTGAATCAGCCACATCCACCACACAATCTAACACTAATATACCTGCTACTTCTACCACACAATCCAGTACTAATAGAGATAGACCTATTACTTCTAATACACAACTCTACATCGCTGAATCAGCTACATCCACCACACAATCTGGCACTAATCAACCCGCCATATTTACCACACAACCAACAACAACTTCACAAATCACTCCATCTAGACACACTAATGTTCTGCTTAGCTTTTCTAGCTCTTCTAGCTCTTCTAGCTCTCCTATTATCCAAGAAGAATATGAACGTGATACCATGAGAAGAAATAGAAAATTCGAAGAATTAGAAAACGGTATTGCTTTATTTAACTAATCACTTATTTATAATTAAATTCTTATAATTTTGTTTCTAGAAAATCTACGGCTATGGAAAGTAATTAATGAGCTTCATGGTGTCACATTACGGCAAGATCGTAACATAATGGGCATAACGGACCAAATCAATTATTTAATGTCCTCCGTTAGCACTTTGATTGACGATATTGACGAATTGTATGATTTAAGTCAATCTGATGACCAAGACTCGTTTGAGTGGGTGATGGAAGAATCTTCAACTAATGCATTACGAAGGTCGGCTCCGGAAGCAACAACCAGGTTGAATACAATAGTTGATGATGATATGGATCGAAAAAGGGTATATCATCAACATATAAAATATATATATTAATTAGTATTTTATTTCATATTAATAGTATTTTTAATTATAGAGAAAAGTTTTCCTTAATCTAAAAGAAAAGGGCACCAAATCTAAAGACAAAATGGCAGAAAATACGTTTCCTGTTTTTTTCAGCAATTTGGGAGATCGTTACAAAACAAGCCGACATAAGTTGGCAGAAATTCGGCGACAATATCCTACTAAATCATCCCGAAATACGTTATCAATTCATCAGGATCCATTCCATCTCGATGACTGGTTACATATAAACTCTCAGCAACCTGAAGTAATTATTTCAAAAATTTAGCATTAGATTTATCGTTATAAATATATATGATAAAATTAATGCCGAATCTAGATGAATCTAGATTCAGCATAAGCCATAATAATTTTTACGCACTTTTAATATGAAAATGTTATATTCCCTATATTCTTATACTTATACTTACGTACCTTTGAATGAATTTTATAGAAAATGACCCGACATACGGAGGCGTTTAGATACTTTTCCATAAAGAATGGTAAACGTACTAATAAGTATGATTTAGATGAGTTAAGAAAACTGCTAAACAAAAGCGATCATGAAAGTTCCGATGCTGAGGAAAGGGATGAAAATAGTTACGCGTCCTTTAACTTACCTGATATATCCCGGAGATCTGATAAAGTATAGTTATTTCTTTACTTATTGTATTAATTTATAGGTAAAAATTTTTTTATACTGTAATATATATAAATCTATATTTTTTTTTTTAATATATAGTTAAGTAATCTCTACCTTGATGCCTTTTCTCCGAATTACGTGAGGCCACATCGGAAATCGTTCTTCTTAAACTTATCTGCACCAGAGGACCTTCTGGATTGGGAAATGACTGAAAGTGATGACGAATGTGATGAAGAAAGTGATAATAGTAGTAGTGATAATAGTAGTAGTGATGATAGTGAAGGAATGGATGTAAAAA